CCCTATCCCCTAAACCCTTTCCCCTAAGGCCCCTAAACCCTAAACCCTAAACCCTAAACCCTAAACCCTAAACCCTAAACCCAAAACAACACCGAGTATCAGGTCTGACCTGCAAAGCACTTGGCTTTTCGGCACTGGAGCGGTCCTTTCTCCCACCTGGGCCGCCCGGGCCCCCTGGGAGGATCCGCGGTGTTTCGGGGTCAAGAATTACCAGTACTATGTTGGGGGTTTTGGGTTTTGGCTTTAGGGTTTAGGTTAGGATTTAGGGTTTAGGGTTTCTTTTTTTTTATGTTTATAGTATTAGATACCCCCAAAACCCTATTCTGATTATTAAGGCCGGGTTTTGTAGTAGTTTTGCTAGGGCGGGGTGGGCCCTCTTGTGCAGTGACGCGGGCCCTAAACCCTAAACTCTCAACCGTCCGCGGTGTTGCCTGGTTTTCTAGTCTATGGTTCTGTAGGACTGTCGAGTTGGGGCTCGGTTCATCGCAGCTTTGTAGGGGTTTAGGGTTTAGGGTTTAGGGTGCAAACCCTAGGCTTCCATTTCAAGCAACAGAAAGCCGGACGATGTACTTTACTGCTTATCCTGATAGTCATAGTCTTCCTCATGGTTCCTTATGATAATTCTACTATATGTTTCTAAGACCCGATGCCAATCATGTACTCATGCCCCGCATATTAAGCCCGGAGCATCCCAAGGTTTAAGGTTCAACTGCCATGTGGGCACTCCTAATATAAGGATACAGGGCCTTTACTTTGAAGGGTGGGTTAGTGCTTAAGAAGAGCAGCTTCTTCGACGGGTTCGACGGGTCCTGATTGGTTTAGGGAGGGTTTAGAGGAACTCGGCTTCGAAATCAAGCCCCGAATGTAGGCATCTGATCAAGAAACCTTGGGTCTTTATCAGGCTCTGTACATGGATCCTCATGTTTTGGGGTTATAGCACCTCGGGGTTTCTTCATAAGGTACCCTAAACCCTAAACCCTAAATCTGAAACCTAAACCTCGGGTACCCTAAACCTTAAACCCTGCTACTAAACCTGAGGTACCCTGAACCCTAAACCCCCTAAGCGACACCGTCACTGGTGACGAGGCCAGGTTTCGGTTTCGGGCTCGGTGTTCAGGAGTGAGGAATCAGGATTTGAGGTTGCAGGGTTCAGGGTCGATAGGGGTTTAGGGGTTTAGGGTTTAGTGGTTTAGGGTTTAGGAGTTTAGGGTTTAGGGTTTAGGGGTTTAGGGCTTCGGGGTTTTATGCATGTAGCGGTTTGAAACGCTTAGGACTCTAGGCTCTACGGGTTTGGAGATCCGGCTTTCTCATGCTGCCCTGAATGCCTCAATGCTTTCAAGCGGGTAGTTCTCTACATTAGGGTCTTTTTAGGTCCCAACATAGTACAGCACCTTCATGAAAAGGACCCTTAATGGGAACCTAATTTACAGAACTGCCCAAATGCCTGAGCATGTCTCTGTTCAACAGCTGCCTAGAGCGGATTTGTTCGAACAATGAGCGAGGCCTCAAACCAGCTTAGATCCCAAGCTCGACGAAAGCCCCTAAACCCTAAACCCGAAACCCTAAAACTGACCCTACAGTAAACCCTAAACCCCAAACCCTAAACCCTAAACCCCAAACCCTTAACCCTAAACCCCAAACCCCAAAAACCCCACAAACCTTGGGAAAGCCCCTAAACCCTAAACCCCAAACCCCAAACCCTACAAACCTGGCAAAGCTCCTAAACCCCAAACCCTAAACCCTAAACCCTAAACTGAAGCTGGCCCAAGCTGTGGGAAAACCGGGCTCTTGGGGAAACAGCGAGGCCAACTCTCTTCTCTGGAATACCCTGAGCAATCCCGCCATGCCGGGCACTTTGCGGGTCTAGGGTTTAGGGTTTAGGGGTTTAGGGTTTAGGGGTTAGGGGTTTAGGGTTTAGGGTTGGGGTTATATACCTAAGCCCTAAACCTATACCCCTCCCTAGTGGTGGCTTTCTTCGGGCTTTTTTCCTAAACCCTAAACCTATGCCCCTACATCCTCAAATTGCCTAAACCCTGGTGGTGGCTTTCTTAGGGCTATCTACTTCAACCCTAAACCTGTACCCCTAAATCCTCAAATTGCCTAAGCCCCCGTGCTTAAGAAGGACTTCTCTAAGTGGTCGAGGGTTTAGGGCTGCAGGGTTTAATCTGTCGGGCCTTAATACTTACCAATACTATTTTGGGGGTTCCTTATTACAAAATATAGTATGATACTATTCTGGGGGCTCCGTATTATAATCATAGTATGATGGGCCCCAAAACTCTATTCTAATTAGCAAGGCCCCTGTATTAATCTTTGGGGTTTGGGGGTGTGGCGTCTGGTCGGGCTAAGGGTCTAGGGTTGTAGAGTCCGAAAATCCTAACCAGGTTTAGGTTTAGGGGGCTAGTATTTTCGGTGTTGGGTCTCAGCTACTTTAGGAATTTGGGCCGTGTGTCTGGTATAGAGGATAAGAACTCTTTATGGTATCGCCTCGTCATCGCCCCTAGGTTGTCCAATCCCGAGCCCTATTCTATGTGACCCTGTGTTAGTACACGACCTTGTACAATACAGCCCTGTAACATTTTGCCTTGAAGGAACCCTCATAGAATCATCTTCCCCTAACCCTCAAAGGACTCATATGTTCAGGCTCTTGGGCCCAAAGACCCTATTATGTAAGGCTTTTGGGCGGTTTTGATGCTAAGGGTTCTAGTTTGTTCATCAGGCTAACTGTATTGAACCCTAAACCCAAGGGGTTTGTGGTAGAATCCTCGAGACCCGAGGCTGTATAAACCCTGAAACCAAACGACACAAACCCTGCCAGCCCATGTAGGGGCCTTCAATACTTGCCTATAATATTTTGGGGGTTTCCTATTATGATTCTAGTATAAGACCTGTAAAACTTGTAAAAAAGATTGTAGAGCCTCATAAAAGCCCTTAGCACACCCTAGCAAACCAGGTAAAAGCTTCGAGGTTCAGTTTCAGGGGACGCGGTCACAGCTGGTCTCCGGTTTAGGATTTTGGCCGACATGTGAGGAGGGGTGCCATTGAGGTGTCAGCCGAACAAAGAGCTTATCCTAAGGGTCCATGCACCCAAATAGTGTATACTTTGGCCATAAAGTAGTCCCTATATAGGTGCTTTGGGGCCATGGACCCTTAGGGTTAGATTCAAGAGCTTGTAGATGAAACCCGAGCATGTAAGGGGTGAAAGTCTACAGAATGCATCATGCCGAAGGCCTTCAGGATATGTTTCCAAACTTACTGAACAGTTCATTTCATCCCAGACAACCTCGATATGGTTAGCGTGTAGTGATGAGGGTGTCAGGGGGGTCTGGAGCTGCCATCATCGCCGGAAAAAGGCAGAAATCACACTTCACGCAGGGGCCCTGCCCTCTATGCGATGAAGCCCTGGATGGTAACTAAACCCTGGAGCTCCACATAGCCCAAAGTAGGTACTATTTACAGGCTTTAGACCCCAAAGTAGGTACTGTTTGAATACTTGGAGCCCTAGGGAACCCTAAACCCTAAACCCCTAAACCCTAAACCAATACTTGCCAGCCTAAAACCCTAAACCCTAAACCCTAAACCCTAAACCCTAAACCCCTAAACCCTAAACCAATACCTGCCAGCCTAAAAACCCATGAATCCTTCGAACCGCTTCACGGGTGCCTGCCCGGTTTCGGGTCAAACTCCAAGATGCCGAAGCCCTCCATCAGAGCCCCCACAAAGCTTAACGCCTTAAACCCTAAACCCTAAACCCCAAGAGCTTAAAGAGCTTTTCAAGGAGACCCGCTTCGAGAAATGGATGGTCAACCTCGAAGTGCAAGCTGCCGTTGATCCCAGGAACATTTACCCAAACGAGCCGTTGGGCTGAGCTCTAGAACAGAATTTCGGTCCCCTTGTAGACAACCCAGTAGCCCAAGCTCTATACCCTAATCCAACTTTGTTAGACTTTTTTTGGAGCGCTCCCAAATCAATTTTTTCTATAGGGACCCTGTTTTCTTCGGGTTTCGGTGGATTTGGTCGTCGTTTTTAAATGTTGAGAACGAGAGAACGGCCCAGGATGCTGCAAGAGCTTGCTAACAAAAGCCTCACCAACTTCAAATTCCCCTCCGTCATAGCGACTGCTACGCAGATGGACGTGTCTATCCCCATCCTGACTGCTGCCACCGACCAATCCTACTGGGAGACGCCGGCATCCCCGGGCTCCGACTGTTCCCAAGATGAGTCGGGTTGCCTTGTTTGCAACTCTGGCTACAGCAAGTGTGTCCATGATGTAGCGGTGGGGAAGTTCGACCTTTGCATCGCGGACATGTGGATCACGCCGTGCCGAAGCGCCATCGCTCAGTTCCTGCCTCCCGTGCGCTTCGACATGTTCTACCTGGTGCAAGAAGCGAAGCCACGGACGGAGTCGACTGTTGGTGCAATCATGGAGAGGCCCTTCAAACCCTTCACGCGTGGGGCCTGGGCGGCCATTGGAATCTTTGTGCTGCTTTCCGCCTTGTGCTTTCTGGCCGGGCGCCACTTAGAGGAGAAAGACAAGCAGGTCAACCAGACCCTTCCTCCTGTGGCGGAGGGCCCTCGCCACAGTACCAGCAGTCTGCCTTCGCGTGCACACGACCTGCTGAACCTTGTTGGGGGCCAAAACTCCTTCGCAGGTTCCAACAGGGCCTCATGCAAGCTCGCAGGTTGGGGCTTTGCTTGGGGCATGCTTGTGCTGACTTCTACCTACACGGCGACAAGGGTAGATTGAGAACACTTTTCTTCGTAAGATGTAAAATACACCTCAGTCATTTAAGAGCTTTAAGCCGGAGTTGCCACGAGGGCCCCTCAAGCGATTCCAGGCAAACTTGACAGACATCTTGGCTTTGGAGCGCAAGCAGGTTACCAATCTTCAGCGGTTGGAGGACGCCAAGGACATGTCCATTTGCGTCGACGAGGAGGCATATGTGCACTTTAGACAAACGTACCACACCGTCCTTGAGAACGTGACTTGGAGACCAGTGAAGAACAGTGCGCACATACCCCAATTGCTGCACGATGAAAATTGTAGTGCAGCTGTCATGTACCAGGGAGCCATTGACCGCATGCACGCTGGGAAATTCTGGGATGCCAGGGCAGGGCGGCCCTCGGACTACGACTGCAAGATCAGAAAGGTCCCCTCCGAAGAGGTATTGCTGACTTTTGCTGTCGGGTTTCCTGTTGCCCCTCCATTAGTGCATGGCCTGTCATGGGCATTGACAAGTGCGCTGGAAGAAGGGACGGCTGCCAAAGCAGAAATCGACCATAGGACTTCCTTGAGGGGCATTTTCGCAAGCAAGTGCGGCGTTGAAGAAGAATCTGAGAAACGGCTTGACTGGCCAGACGTGCTGGGGGCGTTGATTGACGCTTTCATGATCATAATGCTGGGTGCCTTTTTCTTTGGGCTTGCCGCCCTTCTTCGAAGGCAGTGCTGCAAGAGGGTGTCGCAGTGCTGCAAGCCACATCGGCCGGAGCCCGGCACGATAGCCCCACCTTCCCCATGCAGTGGCACGATAGCCCCACCTTCCCCATCCAGTGAGTGTTGAAGCTGGTGAAGCCTCTGCTTTTTCAATCTAGTTTATGGCTAGCTCAGTCACTGAGGGCAGCTGTAATTCGTTCCCATGTGTAGAAATTCAGGCGGCCTTGCATGCCAGTTTTGACAGGGCGTTGATGCGGCAGTTCGCCTGGCTTTTAGTTGGCTTGAAGTGTCCAAGTGCCGAAGAGCATTCTTGGATTAGCTCCAGAGGTGTCTCAGGACAAATTCGCTTCAGAAAAGGCGGGTTGGGTGCTTCTGGGTCCAGCTTTTTGCAAACCCTATTCGAAGTACGTTTGACTAGCACGGCAATTCGCTGGCCCGAACCCAATCCTTGAGCCCGGTGCAAAGCAGAGCGCGTTCGCAGCCAAACGGAAAGCGGGGTTCCCAAACTCAGTAGCTCTTATAAACCATGATAAACCATTTCTGTCCCGAGTATCGCCACAAGGAAAAGAACCACGCAAACAGCAAATATGAAGGAACTAAGGGAAGGGAAAACGGACACTGCAGTAGTTTCCCTTTTGTTTGGTAGTATCGCAGAGAATTTTCATGGACGGGGGACGGGGTTCTTTCACTCACCAGGAAGAATGCCCAGGTTTGGCCGATCTTATGCCGGTCAAGACCTCCCCGTTTCAAAACGAAGGATTACGGTGCAGAGCGATTGGTTTGTCTAGAGCCTAGATGTGCAGGTGAGAGCGGGGTAAGAATAAGAGCGCGAGAAGACGGTGGCAAAATCCGTGGCAACCTGGACTTCAGCATATGTTCGCTGCAGAAGAAGACAGCATGCCCGCTGCCTGTCCCCGTTCTAGTGACTGCAATGTGCTTCCATCAAAGCTTGAATTTGCACCCAAGAACCAGAGCCCTCGCAGGTCCCTTGCAGTTATGAATTTCGGGAGCTTCGTTGGGGTTACTTTCAAACGAAATATTCCATGAGTGTGTGTGTGTGTGTGTTTTTTTTT